GCATACGAATGAAATAAGCTTATAAATTACTTACTGCGAGATTTTTTGCCCATCGATCGATGAATACATACTTATCGTCAACCTTCTTCTCTTGGGTCTTCAAGAACACCTCATGAGCTTCGGGTTCACCATCCATTTTCTTATATTGAAACAAATATATTTAAATATATATTGATGTTGCAGTAATTATAAATAATAAATTATTTATAAATATGTATATATAATAGGATTTACTATGCATATTGGTGCTTATTGTGAGTGATTAAACCCCACGTATGTCTAGATAGATCAACTCCAATGCCACCCGTCTCGCTCATGCAGTTTGAACAGTCCGCTTAGATTGGGCACGAGACACGGGTTTTGACAATTCCTTCGCAATGCATCCCATATCTCATGTGAGATATATATTGGTTTGAGGTGTCTTTTCACTTGATAAAGGAAGTCGGAATATTACATCCGTGTGAGACTCTACCATGGTTTCCTAATGCTTCGATCAAACTCCCGATCCCACATAAATGACTTCTATAAGAATGTTTAAAATATTCATTAGTATATTTAAATGAACATTAATGTTTCTTAATTTAAATGTACTCGCCACATAATAAATTAAATTATAAACTACCTTAAACTCCTCCTAATAGAACTTTTTAATTTGCTCAATAATTGACTTTCACGTCGTTCTAGATAGGTCGACATGCTCATGGAATATCTTATAAATCCGATAATAGCATATATTGGATAGATACAAGTCTGTAAAACAAGATAATTAATGATTAAATAAACTCATAAATATAATAAAAAACAAAAAAAATTAAAATTTTTTGCATAATACGTTCACCTTATCATCAACGAGAATAATAAGGATGTGCGAATCATAAGTAAAGCCAAACTAGAAAGGATGTATGATGATGAACCATATGCGGGAACTTAACAATCATTTTGTTTGGTCGAGGAGCCTAATGACAACGAATGTTCTATAGTGCTTGGGACATATAGGTCTATACTGATGGGGTCTGGTTAAGACATGTTAAATGATGATGGTTTGACACAAGGGTTGCGAGGAGGGTGGTATTGAGACATGTCGATAGGGAACGGGGCAACCTGGAATGAATGTAGGACTATGCCTATGTGTACGATCATTGTCGTTGTAAGTGTTTGAACCATGACCCTCATCATATGATATAGGCCACTACATGCTAGAACATTCTCTACCACGAGACATAACTTACACATAATCACATTAGTTAGTTAATAAAGCACAATAGCTATAAAAACATCTATATTGCAATAAATAATTTAAAATATATTTATTTTACGACCAATAAATAATTTCATAATTAAATTTAAGCACTCACGCACATGCACACACACACATAGACACACACCTTAACAATTTAAATTAAACCGTGGGGATAATCAAAACTTGTTGCTAATTATTATCCTAATCATTTTTGTTACAGCTTTTCATGAAAGTTTTCCTCAAAATTTGTTTAAATTCAACATCATTCTTTTTGTTAATCTCATTAAAGTTTTTTTTTCGATTTGGTAGGTAAAATAAATAGATTTAATCCCTCGGCTCCATGTAGTTGGCCACTTTCACCATAACTATGTCGTTCTTTCCGTTATTTGTAGGTAGGTTTGGATTATAGTTATGTTAGATGAAGCATGTTAAAAAGTCTCCAAAATTTATTTGATGGATATGGCTCACGTGGATTCAATTGCATTTCATAGATTTTATTAGTCAATAATAATAAACAATGTGCTACATCAACCAATGAATTCAATGCAATTAGGAATTTTAAATTTTAAATCGGTATGTCTGCATGATGCTCTCGTTTGTCTTACGAAATTCTCATATGAAATGGATTGAAATATCATTAATTGATATATTATATTAAAAATATTTTATTTTCAATCTATTTTGGGCTCTCATTGTAGCTTGAAAATGGGCATTTTAGCGTTTTTTTTTAATCATGATTTTTGACTTGTTTGATAATAGAGGATAATTAAGGTGAAAACTGGATAGGGTTTATGTGTTAGTATTTGTCTACCAAGGAGAGGTAATAACAACACCAAAAAAGAGGGAAAAGAAAGAGAAAAATAACAAGAAAAATAGGCAAAAGCTTTGGGTTACAACGGGAAAAGTAAAAAAGATGGTGAATAGTATCAAACTTTGGGTTGAAACGGCAACGTTTCAACAAGGCTTGTTTTTTTCCCTCCCCAAATAGGCATCATTCTACTTACTATCAAAGTTCAAGTCAATCCTTCTATTATAATGGCTTTTAGAATTGGTTCTCAATTCTTTTGTTTTTTTCCCCCTCAATTACACCCTTAAATCTCTCAATTTTTCTCTCGTTTTTTTTTCGGTCTTTTTTTTTTTTTAATTCTTATCAATTGAAACACCCAATTATTCAATTATTATTAACCTTTTTCCTTTTTTTTATATTTTTTTGTTTTTTTCGGACTTTGGTTTTTAATGATTTTCTCCTATTTATTCTAGATCTCTTTTTTCACTCCCCCTTCTCTCTCTTTTTTTCTTTTCTTATTCAATTATTCTTAACCCTTTTCCTTTTTTGTATATTTTCTTCTATTTTTTTTCACTTTCTTTTCTAATGATTTTTTCCTATTTATTCTAGATCTCTTTTTTCACTCCTTTTTTTTTTTTTTTCACTTCTCTTGCGAATTCAAAAAAAAATTGTCAACATCATTAAAGCTATAAAAAATTATCAAATTACCCAAAATTTATGCTGAAAACCACACACACACATATTTATTTATTTATTTATATAAAATGCTATGTTTTGGATTTCTTGGGATTTTTTTGAATAAAATGATTTTTGTAAAAGAAATTATGGAGGGTTAAAATTAAGTGATGGCAATATATATAACTTGGGTATTATGTTAATAAATTTAATTTTTATATAATGAGTTATGTTAACTAATATAATAATTTTACCCATGTTGTTCTTAGCATGTATGAGTGTTTGTGTATGTAAGGAAAATAAAATTAGATCCAGGCTTCGTTTGTTTGGCAAAAAAAAAAAAAAAAAACTTATAATAGGAAAACCAATTATGGAGAATATATTTTTTAGTAAATTTTTTTTCAAAAAAAAAATATTTTTTGACTTTTGGTAATTATATGAAAAAATTATTGAAAAATATATTTCGAGTATTTTTTTAATAAGAAAACTCGAAATACAAAAATAGGCTATGACTGTTACATTAACGAGTTTTAAGGAAATTTTAACAAGAAATATTTACAATTTCACAATATAAAATGTATTTAGAAAATTTTAATAATTTTTTTTATAAATACTAATTGTAAGATTTAAATTCAAAAAATAAAATTTACATTTTTAACCATCAAACCTATTTAGCAAAACTACTTGAAACAAAATCAAGTCAATATTCACATTTAGTAAAAAAAAATTTCTAAGTAATCCTAGCATTATTATTTTGATAACTCAATTAAGAATTATTTTTTTAAAAAAAATTGAACCGACAATTTATTCTAAAAAATAGTTTCGTAAATTATTAGTGATTGTTTGTAGATAATTATTCATTTGGTTTTAAAAGATTAATATTGAAATAATTTATAATTAATTATTGACTACAATTGTCGACGTCGACCACTCTGTTGGGGAGGCCAAAACAAAGAGTCGCCACCTAGCTAATCGGAGAGAACTAGGAAAATCTAAACATACTAGTCTACATGGATATCTAGGTAAGGGGTTGATTACATATGGGGAAGACATGACGTCACCACCATCTCGTCCTACCTAAAGTACGCTACATTGTTTGTCTATGAATATAAAAATCTTGATTTTTTCTATCAATATACTTTTATGTCTATTCAAATGAATTTATTTAATGAAAATATGAGATGAGATGATTGAGATGTAAAACGGGGTAGTTTGGATGTTCGTGCCGATCCAAGGCTAATACGCCCTACCAATATGGGAGAAAAATAAATAAATAAATAAAGATGGAATTTACGCTAATCATTATTGAATACGACCTATTATCAATGAATATGTGAGTTTTTAAAGATAAACGAGTCTTTTATTAGCATAAGTCGCGAGTCACCGACGACTTCGTTCACACAAGTGGGAAGCCATCAACGACTTTGAGTAATGAGTTTGAAGCTAAAGATAACCTCGTCACATAAGTTGAAAGTTATTGATTATTTTATTTAGGTCAAGCGAGGAGCGAGATAACTATTTGGAAGCCACCGATGGCTTCGTTACATTAAATGAGAAACCACTAGCAACTTTGTTTCAAACAAACGGACATTAAATGAAAAATTATTTTCGAAGCTACCGACGGCTTCGTCACATAAGTGAGAAGATACCGACGACTTCATTTCGATGAAATAAGCAATAAAACATAGAAAACATAAAGTAGGAAATAGTAAACGAGAAGCAAGGAAAACAAGGATCGAGCAAGTAGACAAAATGATTTTCGAAACCATCGACGGCTTCGTCACATAAGTGGAAAGCCACCGGCAGCCTTCATTGTAGCATTGCGGATAATCATGAAAAGTTAATTGAATCACAAAAAAGTCGATAAAATTTTCATATTTGGATAGACATGCATAATAACAGGAAACATGATATATTATCCTTTAATGATCTTTGCGAGCAATATTTCATTTTAATCATATTTAATTTGCAAAAGTGACGCCAAATATCACGAGTTTTAACCACATTCCCAAGCACACGATCATTTTCAAACATTTACCATGCTTTAAAAAATGTTACGTTTTAGGATTTTTACCCAAAAAACTCTAAAGTGTCGACGTTAGATCCGAAGTTGATCCTACCCTCTTCGTTCTCGATGCACGAGCTGAAAAGATGGATGTGGGGTCGTGTTTAGTGGGGGTCCGATGTGCTAGTTGAGGCTATTGGTGGCAAGCACATAAGGCAAAAGGCTCGTGCATTAGGGAGCGATTGTTGGTGTGCGAGGTAAAGGCTGCATGGGTTGTTGCCAACTTTCGAGGCATGGGTGCTAGCTCGCGCGCACGCTTGGTGCCCCGTTGCGAGGCCGCTCGCTCACGTATGCGCCTAGTGGCACGGGTTGAAGGGGCTACTTGCTAGCGTGCGCGCTTAGAGGCTTAGGTTACGGGGCTATTTGTGTGTTGGCGAGGTGAGAGAAGGATGGCTAGTGTGTGGTGTGAGGTTGAGTGTTGGGCGTGTAAGGGGCTTGTCCGGTGTGAGGGCTATTAGGACTAGTTTGGTGCGCGATAGTGGAGGCCGGCCGAGAGAGAGTTTGGGTAAAGGGGTTGTGGCGTGTTGTGTTTGGTACAAGGTTGGTTGGGGCAATGTGTTTAGTGAGGTCGGTGCTCGTATAAGGGAGCTATGGGTATGGCGAGCTGGGTCTTCTCTTCCTCCCCTCGAAGTTGATGATGAATAGTAGCTTGGCGAGAGGAAGAGAGCGAGTGTGGTGGCTATGAGCATTGGCGGTAGGTTGAAAGAGCGAGAAAGGGAGGTTTGGTGCCATTTGTGCTTTGCGTGGGAGAAAGCTTTTTCTTTTTGGTATCCGGCGGTTGGTTCCTCTCTAAGTTGATGATGAATAGTGATATATACCAAAAAAATGCATGAGTGTTTTAGGTTTTTGGCAAAAATACACTTTGGTCTTTGATTTTCTTCCATGCATTTATTTGGGTTCAATTTGTTTTTCTTGTGTTTTAATTTAAGCCTTCCATTGTCAATAATTAGGACTTTTTATTTTAATTGGTTCTAATTGTACCCTTTTTAATTTTCTTAAAAATAATTGAAGCTTTGAATTCTTTAATTAAGCACCCAATTGTCTTTTTAATTATTTCTTACTCTTTATTTTTCTCAATTAACCCCCTCCTTAGAATTAATCTAAACTAGACTATACTAATTTGTTTTCTATTTTGCAGTTTCATTTTGTTTTATCTTTTTTTTTCATTTTATTTTATTTTTAAATAATAAATGAAAAATAAATAAAAGACGAGCAAAAATTGGGTGCTAACAACAACTATCAACAAAATTTTATAACCGATTAAAATTAGTCACGGAGTATTGATTTAGTTGCAAATGAATAGTATTGAAAAAATAATGTATTTATTAATGAATTAATTAGTTTCAAAATTTTCACAAATGATTGTAATTTTGTAATAATTATTTCTAATCATCTAAATATAGTTGAGGTGTTGATTGAGATAATGGTACAAAAAAAAAAAAAAGAGATAAATTATTGAAATATTTATTATCAAAATAATTTTAAAGTGTAAAAATGATTTTTAAGGATATTTAATGTATTTATAAATAAAAAAATAAAATTTTAGTAAAAATAGATAAAAAAATTAAATAATTAATAATAATTGATAAAAATAAATAAAAATTTATTTGATATATTTTAAATAAAAATAAGATAGAGAAAAAATTATTAAAATATATCGAGAGAGGTTAGTAACGCGAAAACGAGATAACTCATGAAAGAGAAGGAAAATATTTTCTTCTTTTTTAATTCAAAAAAATACTTTTTCAAAAATATTCTATCTTTTTTCGTTGATTGCAATTTATTTTTTGTTAACTTTTTTCCTAAACACGGAACAAATATCAAAAAATAGAAAAAAAAGAAAAAAAAACAAAGTTTCTGAATTTTTTTTTTCAAATAAACACAGCCCCAAATACCAATTAAAAAACGATTTACTCAAATCTCAGTGCAATTAACACCCGACTTTCGAAAACCTATTTATAATTTGATTTTTTTATTTTTTATTTTTATGAAATCCATTTTGTATTGCAATTATCCAACCCAATATGTTAAATGAAAGCTTATAATAAGATATTTTATTTGATCAAAATAAAAATAATAAACAATAAATATATAGTCCAAAATTTTCATTCAATGTTTTTTTTTGTTTTTTCCCCCGGAAATGGTCCATCCTATTTTTATATAATGAATAAGTGTCTAGTATGTCATTACATCCTAAAATTAACTAATTATATATAATAATTCAATTTAATATTCTAATGATTATTTAAAAATAAAATCATAAAAAAAAATTATTTTATTTGCACATCACTAATTTTATTTCGAAATGACCTTCAAATGAAACTTTTCAGCTATTAAGTTTTATTTAATTAGTAATATATATTTTACAACGATAAAAGCCACAGTTCTTCCAAAGGAGCCTTAAAACGGTATCATTTGCTCGTTAGCTGGTCACTACCTTCAGCCTCTTAACCTCTCTCTCTCTCTCTCTCTCTCTCGAATCAAAACTCCGTAGTCGTCAAAATGGAGGAAGTGAAGGCTGCGGCGTACTACGACGAGCTCACTCGGAAAGGCGAAGGCGCCGCGCGCTTCAAGCAAGGCCTCGGTTTTGCCTCCAATAAGGATGGTGCTGCTCCTCCTTCGAGAGGCTCAGCTCTCCCTTCCTCCGCTGCTTCTTTTTTAAGCAATTTTGTTAAAGCCTCTAGTCCTGCGCAAGCTTCAAATTTTGAAAAACAAGCTCAGCTTGAATCAATTCAAAACAAGCTCAAGAAACCCAAAGATCAGGCTTTATCGCCTAGGGTTTCGGTTTCAGAGCGAAGCAGCAGAGAATCAGGCCATCATAGGCATCGATCGAGATCGAGAAGTAGAGAAAGAGATAGAGAGAAGAATCATAGGAAGCGAAGCAGAAGCAGAAGCAGAAGCAGAGAGAGGAATTATAGGCGTAGAAGCAGAGAGCGGTATAGAGATAGAGATAGAGATAGGGAGAGAAGAAGGAACCAGAGATCGGAGAGAAGCAGCCGAAGTCGGAGTTTATCACCACGAGAGGGCAGGAGGTCGGAGAAGAAGATTGATGATTTGGAAAGGGAGAGGGCAGGGAAGGAGAAGAATGGTAGCATTGATTATTCGCGGTTGATTGACGGTTATGAGAAAATGGTATATTTGCTGATTTTTCAATTCAATTGTTTTAATTTTTTTTGTTAGAAATCCATTGGCTTTGTTTGCAAGTTGAAATGTGGGGAACTGATTCTTGAAATAATTACAAGGGCTATTGAATTTATAAACTTACAATATGATAGTTTTATTGGAGGCTATGCTAGTCTACAGGATTTAAATCGCTATTTATTAATGGTTGCAGTGGAAATGGAAATGAAAGGGAGTAGTAGGTTTCTGCTTGAAGTTTAGAATTGAGAAGGTGACATTGTATATTATTACTCTAAATGTTGATTATATTCCAGCACTGTTGTGTTGCCAAACCTCGAATACCATTGTTGTACATTTTCCATAGGTGAGGAACTCCTTGCCTTTTTTGTTGCAAGGCATGAAAGAAAGTGTTTAGGCTGTTGAATGTTTGAGGGAGGCTGGCGTGTCTTTACCTAAAACAAAATCAGGACATAAATGTAAGATATATCAGTAGAAGGTAGTGAAATATATTTGGTCTCTCTCAAGTATGTGCTCATGCTGGATTGGCATCTAGGTGGAAATTTTGGAATAAATTTCTTGATGACAGGTCAAAATAGCCCAACATGCTAATTGTTATAACCTCCATCATATCATTGGGAAAAGAGAGAGATAGATTTAAGAAAATATCAAGAAAGTAAGATTAGTGATGCTGCTTCTCTGTGCATAAACAAGTCGAAAAACTAGATAATCCTGACGAATTGCTCTATATAAGGAAAGAAGAAAATGTATCTCGCCTCCACATCACTTCAAAGAACTACTAACTAAAAATCTTATTATTATATTTTTGTCCTATGTGGTTTAATAATTGATTCAATTGGCTATCTTAGGAGAATCTCAAATCTCCTTTTCTTTCTTCCATTGACTGGGTTTCCTTGACAAACAGACAGCAGCTGAAAGAGTCAAAGCTAGGATGAAACTTCAGCTTAATGAAACTGGTAAGCGATCACATCCTTTGCTGAAACTTGAGATCATCATGTCATTTTTCCTGTCTGAATTGATCTGAGGACTTCCTGCCTTATTTAGGAATCATGAATAGTGTAATACTTTTTGTTTGAAACTAAAGAAAATAAATGCAATGATAGCTCATATTTGTAAAACATTTTCTATTTCGATATCAATTCTAGGCCAAACTGTTGATTTGCAGAATTTGTCTACACCTGTTAGGTGGTATGTATGGCTGTTTACTTGAATATTTCATTAGTACAGTGTTTGTCACAAGCACCTAGAGATAAACACATTTCCAGTATTGTAAACAATGAAACTAACTACTCCTTCATAAATTATTCTAAGTTGTACACAAATCATGGCATGCCAAAGCATCAACTGCATATCTACTTGTATAACAATGGCAGGTAGCTAGAGCCTTTGCACTAAATGGCAAGCTGCCATGCCACACTATCATCTGCATATCTAATAGTGTAATAGTGGCATGTAACTAGTGGCTTTGCACTAAATCGCAGGACACCCTGTCAGAAAATTGGAAAATCTCCTACCCAACTTCTTCAACAAGGTTAAGGTTTCGGGTTGGAGGGGGCATGCATAATTTGGAACTATTATTATTGAGAGTTAAGAAGTTTGTTTTACTATTTGGGAGAAACTTAAAAACTTTAACTATACTGGCCATTAATTTGAGAACAAAAGGAGATCATATTCTTTTACTCATGCTTGATTTTATAGTAAATTTGAGAGTTAAAAATTTTGTTTTACTATTTGGAAGAAACTTAAAAGCTTTAACTATACAGGCCATTAATATGAAAACAAAAGGGGATCATATTCTTTTACTCATACTTGATTTTATACTTTTGTCGTTGGTCAGTTTTGGTTGAGAGTGTTAATCAATATGTTTCTCATTGCACTCCAGTGTTTTGATTTTACCATTCACTCTATTTAGTTCTACTTCTATCCTTTGTACTTGTCTACTTTTGCAGTATAAATCTTTTCCTCCCAAATTACTTTTAGTAATTCCATGGGAGGAAGGTGTAATAATGCATCTCTACAACTTTTATATAGAAATGTAATCTTTTATATAGAGTTATTATAATATTGTTTATTTATAGGAGTTGGGCTGGTTGTTAATGGATGTTATTCCCAATTGATCCATCTTTTGTCATTTTTGTTACTAGACTTCTGTAGATATCAACCTTACTGCAATTTCATATCAAGTTAGTCCAAAAACATTGGTTTCTTAATCATGTGAACATACTAGTTGGAAGATATACTGCTGTGATTCTTACCAGATAAACACCCGCTCTTCTTGGTGGTCTTGATATTTTAATTTATGTATATTGCCCTTTTTATAGATGCTCATAAATTTTATCCATAAAATTTTATTGCATTTTTTAATCAGCTAAAAAGGATGAGGGAATGGGCTCTGGATGGGAGCGGTTTGTGTTCGACAAGGATGCCCCACTTGATGATGAGGAAGTTGAAGGTTAAATATATTTATCCACATTTTATTCCTGAGTTACAGATCGCTATTATTTGTATGTGGTCAACTCTTGTTGCTTTCACTATTCGGCCATTGGCTGATGGATTGAGATTTTTTGGATACTGAAATGCCTGCTGTTCTAATTCATTTCATAGCTGCTGCTTACATCTTGTGTTCCTGACTTCCTGTGGCTTTTCTTTACTTGGTTGGGGAAGAAGATATGGACCTCATTTTCAGAAAACTGCTAGGTTAAGAAATGAAAAGGGGAACTCTATGAAATAATGGAACAAGATATCCTCAGTAAGCATATACTCATTAAGCATGCCTTTCAATTGGCATATATAAAAATAATAAATAAAAAAAATCCAAATTGTCATACTTGCAAATATGCTTCTGTATTTGTTTGAAGCAATGCCTGAAATAAAATTAATTCCCATGATTCTCTGTTTACATGTAGCACTTATGCTTTTGTACTATTATCTGCAAGTACATAAACTCTGCAATTATGAGGTAATATTGTTGGACAAATGAGATGATCACAAATCTGCTAAATTGAAATTGATATTTTAAAGTTAATCATCTTTATTGTTGGTTGATATCAATTTACTGGACAGATGGGTACTCTAGATTATAACACAGAATATCTATGGACTTGGGCAGAATAATTAAAGCAGATATAAAAATGTTTCTTTGTTTGTGTTTAGCTGCAGAAGATGATGCAGCACTAATCAAGCACATCGGCCAGAGTTTTCGTTTCTCTGCAGTGGAGGTAGGCATCTGCTACTGTTTCACTTGCAGTTTGTCTTGTATCTAATGATCATAGGTGTTGATGGGAATCTATTTTTTTTTATTCCTTTTCTTTTTCTTTGAGCATGAATATATTCTATAGCTTCTGATCTAACTTTTATAATGTGAATATATAAAGGAAAGAAGGGAAAAGCAAATCAAAGCTGCTCATGATGAGGCCATGTTTGGTGCACCATCGCTTTCAGCATCTGGTACTTCAGACAATGAGAAAGAGGTGGACAACAATAGAAAGGAGAGCAAAGACACAGACCATGCTTCTGGCCTTTTAAGTGAGAAGGTGGGTGCTTTCCTGAGAGAGAGAGAGAGAGAGAGAGAGAGAGCAAAATCTAAGCAATTCTTATTATGGTTTCAGGTGCTTGCAAAGCAGCAAGGTTCTTGGCGTGACTGTGCTCGTAAATTATAGATTGATCAAGAAGCTAATTGTCTCCTAGTAATAATGCTAGAGAAGCAATAGGCATCATCAGTTGCTGCAAGTGACCATCCAGTGCAAGAAGAATTCTTGGAGAGAAGTGGTGTATCTGATCAAGTTGATAGGTGAAAACCGGCACATAATCTATAATTTATGTATTCTGCTTTTCACCATGATATAAAAAATTGCTGGTGACAGGACTGGAAAGTACAGTTGAAGCTTCATTGCTGGACAGTTCTGATTCATCCTGGTAGAGAACACTAACAGTAGTTTTATGGCCTGGAACAATAATATTTTTCATGTAAATATGCTGAAAGGGCAAGAAGGATCTCTGTATCTTGTACATTTATGCTAGTGGGGTGAAATTTGAAGATAAATTCCTCATACCCTACTCGGTTGTTTTTATGAGACCAAGTTGATCTTTGAAGATAATGAAGAGAGTTAATTATAATTTAGTTACTGCAGTTTAGCAAATTAATTAGTCTTCGTGGTTTAGAAAATTGTATATCTAATTTTTATATTCTTAAAATCAATTATAACTTAATCTTTTTTATTCATTTCATATTATTTTTCAATTTATTTTGATATATTTTTTTTCAATTGAAGAAATAGAAAAAGGAGAAAAAAGAGAGAAGTAAATGGGATTGACGCGTAGCTTGTATCAACTTTTACTGGTAGGGTTTATTGATTTCAATGCCACTTGATTTTAATAAAACATTTAAATTTTAATTTCTTAGAAGACGAAGAAGCGAAAGGCGGGGGTTGGTGGTGAAGACGAAAGGAAAGGGAGGAGGAGGAGCCAAGCCAAAAGCAGCTGCTGCTGAGGTTGGCGTGGGTTCTACAGTTGAAGAACAAACACTTACCAATTTAATCACTCTAAGCAAGGAAGATCAGATGATGATGCTGATGAGGATGATGATAGCGACGAGAATCAATCTGCAATGGAGGTTAATACACCTTCTTCCACTCCAACCGACCAGCCATTGCATCTTGCAAGTATTAATCCTGATGACTCTATTGATAAGGCGGCAGCAGGAGGAAAGTCTGTAGGGGCGCGTTAAGGTTAAGCTCAAGAGTTCCAGGATTTTGGAGTCGCAGAGTGATTACGGATAGGAGTAGCCCAGTGCAGCACTTGGGTTTGGAGAAACAAGGTGAGGATAGTGGGAATGCGGTTGTACCTGAATTTAAGATGTATGTTTCGAGGAGACCTGGAGGTATAAAGATAAGTCCTCGTCTAAGGTGACAGGAGGAGGTGGTTTTAGTGGTTGACACGAGTGGTGATGGTGATGATAACGATAACGGTAACGATAACGTAGTTGTTGTAATATTGGGTATTTGTTAAAAAATCGTTATTTAATAAATTTAAAAATGTTAAAGGCATTCGAAAAATGTTTTGTGGGCATGGAATATCTTTAATGGGTTGCTAGAATATTTTGAGCCATTAAGATAGTTTTTTCATGCCTAGTGAATATTTTGTTGATTTTTTGGTACATAAATAGTGACTTTTTTGTGTGAAATAATTAGTTTAAACATGATGAATGTGAAAAATTTCTTATTTTCATGCATGAAATATTTGCCGAGAGGGTGTTAGATTATTCGATACCATTACACGAATTTTTTGATGTTTTGTAATTATTTTATTTGAAGTTTATTGTGCATAAATAGTATTTTTGAGGTAAATTAATTAATTTGAGTACTTAAAAGGTGTAAGAAAATTACCAATTGGCATAGAAAAATCATTTAGGAAGTGTAGGAATATTTTATAAACTTAGATAAATTTTTCTATGTATAAGGAATATTTTCTATAGGAAATAATGATTTTTTACACAAAATAATTAATTTAAAGGCCTAAATAAGTGTATAAAAATTATGTGAATGATGATGAAATTATTTTAGGAGGTGTTTGAATTTATTATGAAAAGAAATTGTATTTTCCAAATGTATGGAATAAAATTTTAAAATTAGGGGCCTAATTGCATATAAATTAGGGATTTAATTCTATAAAATTAAAAGTTTAAACTTTCAAATTAAATTAGATATAAACTTAAGAAGTTAAAAAGCTGTTAGAAAACTTTTAAAAGAAGGGCCTAAAGTAATCACTTGAATAATTGAGAGACTTATGGAGGAGTAATTAAAGAAAAGATTAGTAACTTTAAGGATTAAAATTAAGCAATTTTTGAGAGGAATTTCTTCACCTTTTGCCACCACTTTCAGCTCAATAATTAGGGTGTAATTAATGCATGAACAAATAGAAGGAAGAGATTTAAAGAGAGTGGTTAGATGGGGGGATAAAATTTAAAGACTAAATGGATAGCCAAAATGAAAACAATTGAAGAGCCAAGATTTAAAGAGAGATTAAGGGATAGGATTGCTCCAAATTAAGGGTGGAGATTAAGTTAAGAGTCCACCAAATTATTCCTATAAATATGGGTGCAAGAAAATGGAGAAATTAGAAGGAAAATAGAAAAATACAAGGGAAATTCTTGCAAAATTTCCATAGGAATTCTACCTAAACTTCTCCAAATCCATTTCTAAACACTTCAAACCATCTTATTAAACAAGTAATTCAAGCTAGAAGATCAAGAATCATCAAAAGGAAAAATTGAAGTTTGGGTTGAATTTAGAGGAAAACAGGGAGGAAGAAAATTTCACTTTTCAAGAATAAATTGGAGCTTGTTTATGTGAGTTAATCTCACCTACACCATAAGGATTGTTTAATTGATGGCAATTGATGATTTGGATGCTTTAATTTGTGTTTATTTGCCTTAATTTTGAAAATTAGGATTAGGGTTCTTAATAAGGAAAAATTTGGACAAATGAATTTAAGTTAGAAATTCATGAAATTGAAGTTAAAATATGTCAATTGAGCTTAAAATTAATGATTAAAAATAAAAAATTTCTAGGGTTAGGAAGAACAGAGCATTTTACCCAAATTTGATATTTTAAGGTTTTTGATGCTTTACTTTTTTTTTGATGATTTATCCCTTGATTATGTGTTAATTAGGTGTGAATTAATGATTGGGTGTGAAAATTTTTATTAAAATTGAAGAATTTTCATTGAATCCCTTAGGGAAGCATTCGGCCCGAATTTCAAATTTTAGGGTTTTGATTCCTTTGCTCATTTAATGAATTGTTGACTAATTAGGAGTTTGTTAAGTATGAATTGATGAATGAAAGTGAGAAATTTCATAAAAAATTGAAGAATTTCAATTAAGCTACTTATATTCGACCCAAATTGAGAATAAATTAGGATTTAAGTATATTTGACTTATAATGATTCAATTGATCAATTTAGACTTATAATAATGTAATGAGAGGAATTAGAAATAGAAATTACATTGAAATTGATAAATTAACTTACCTAAATTAGGATTTAGGTCCATTAAGACATAATTTAGGATTTATGCATATAATTAATCAATGAGTGCCTAATTGAGTTAGCTCCTTATATTGGGGTATACTTTAATGAAATTATATGACAAATTAGTGTTGAAATTAGAAGAAAATATTTGGTTTAGGTTATGGTTGATATTCGACCTATGTTAGAATTTTATGGTTTATGTTTTAATTTGTACAATTCAATTGTAATTTAGTTACTTTGATGCCATTTCATGTGTTTAATGTGTGTATGATGACTGGAACTTGTAATGTTGATGGTTGTGAAAATGCATTGTTTCATGTTGTGTAATGGTGCCATTATTTGGAATGGTTTTAATGAAGTAATGCATATGGTGCATTTTATGTTATTAAATTATGCATTATCATGACATAAATGCATCTCACTCATGGCATGCATTTCATAAAATTATAATGGTTATGCATTTACAATAAAATGCATACACATGCCAAGTTTATAAAAATAATTTAAAGTCATGAAAAAGAGGTTTTTATGTCAATGTTTTTCCAATAGCAATTGTAAAACATTTTATGATTATATGGTTTTCATAGCTTTCATGGTTTTAATGAGGAGGGCTTTATGGGTTTTCCATACCGGTTATGGTTCATGGTTCAGGACCAAATAAGTGCGGATGTGCACTTTTAGAGACTTGGCGGGGCACGTTTGCAAACGAGTCTAGTTCGCCAAACATATTATGAAACCTTGAAGTGCATACAATGAGACATGTCCATACCAGTTATGGAAAATGATTTAAAGTCATGAAAAAGAGGTTTTTATGTCAATGTTTTTCCAATAGCAATTGTAAAACATTTTATGATTATATGGTTTTCATAGCTTTCATGGTTTTAATGAGGAGGGCTTCATGGGTTTTTCATACCGGTTATGGTTCATGGTTCAGGACCAAATAAGTGCGGATGTGCACTTTTAGAGACTTGGTGGGGCACGTCTACAAACGAGTCTAGTTTACCGGACATATTATGGAAACCCCGAAGTGCATACAATAAAACATGTACCAAAGATGAAAAAGAATTTTAAGACTCGTCATGGCAAAGATTTTATGACATGAAAAAAGGATTTATGAACATGCAAATGATTTTTACATACATTTTATATTCATGCACAGATTAACTTATTAAGTTGTAGCTCACCTCATTTCTTGTGGTGTAGATAACACATGTAAAGATGGTGATGCTTACATTTGAGTTGACTACCGAGGGTACTGTGTGCCCGTGTATGTTGGATGTGATTGGAAGATGAATCTTATTCACACCATGGTTATATTAGTACTCGGTATACTAGTTTACTTTTTGGGCATGGCTTCGTTTTTCCATGTGTTAGTTAAAGTTGTGAAGAAATGAACGACTAATTAGAAATTAGTTGATGTAAATAGAAAATAAGCCATTTTTGTAGTATGTGACATTGAACTGGTTTTTGTAAGTTAATGATAGTTTGTATATAAACAAAAATATCGCTAGTAAAATAGTAGTATAACCGTAGTTAGTATAATTTTCTTTAAGTTATTTTTTTTATATGTTAGCATTAATAGTAAAATAAGAAAAATGAAATTAATAAGATAATAACTACAATGAATAGTAATTAATAAGGATAAAAAGGAATTAATTACCGAATAATGGGTAATAACTAAATGCATTTACATAGACGAATAGAAAAAGAATTTAAGAAAACTAGGCGTCACGGATCCAAGTCATCTCAATTCAAATAATTCAAATAAAATTATAAAATGCAAAAAATTCATAGTACATTTTGTTTTGAAATTCATGACCTATCAGTCATTATTAGGCTTCTATAGCTAGTTACATACCTAGAATACCATAGTAAAGACACAAAGTCTTATTGTTTTGTATTTATTGCATTTCGAATGTAGATCAACGACAGTAATATTCTCAATCTACAAGATTCTAGGTTGGGAGCGTTACAGTTGTGGTGGAGGATGAGGAAGAGGGTTTGCAAAACAAGGAACTTGAGACGCTTCGGAAAGAAAATAGATATGATAAGCATGAACTGGATTCTGCATTATCGGTTATTAAGAAGGTGATGAAAATGATGCAGCTGACACCAATGGACTTTGGAACAATCTGCAGCAATCTTGAGAAAGATGGCAAGTACATGAATTGGAACAACTATTTTAAGTATAACAACAAATGTGACTATATCTTGGATCTTATGAGGCATGTTAAGAACGATTTTATGAAGTATTGGACAGCACCTGGGCTATACACTGAATTATCAAAAAGGAAGTAATGTTTCTGAAGGTGTTCGTGGTGAGGATGTTGCAGCATCTAGTCATGGACATAATAAAAGTCATAACCAAAGAAGTCAAAAAGCATCATGGAAGGCGCCATAAACTTGATCGTTTATGTGCCATATGTGTTATAAAGCATCGTAGAAGAGAGCACAAGGAGAATGCTCGACTTGGTAAAGGCCAGATTGGAGTCACTGATAACGAACTTGTTCAAGAGTTCAAGCAAGAGGAATCTTTGCTTGTCGAAAGTCCTTGCGATGAGTATTCGTCTTCAAATATGGGTGAATCGTTTGACCCGGATGCATATGTTGAAGTGGAAGGAAAAGCACAGGAGGGGAAAGTCGAGGTTACAGAGAGGCAGCAGAGTCTTGTGGAGAAGCAGGAGGAAGTGGAGGAGGATGAAATATATATATATATATATATTTTTTATATATAAAGAAGTAGAAGAGGAAGAGGAAGATGAAGACAATGAGATGGAGATTCAGAAGCAAGGGAAGGAAGAAATACCAGAGAGATCACAGTTTGCTGATGGATCTGGGGAGGAGTCTAATCAACACCCTTGGCCTGTAATATCCAAAAAAGCAAATATAATTTCCATATTCGTACTCAGAAAGATGCATTAGTGCTGCAAGAGGAAGAAACTATGGCAGTTCGGCAAAATAAGCCCAAGTTACAGGAATTGCAAGAAAGGCAAGAGAAGGTTAACGTATTTAAAAACTTCTACATCGAAAATCCCTTGCTTCTTAGCCTATGTGGAACTCTATTTCCTGATGATCAAAGATCTGTCTGGAAGGGACCTCATTCACTGGTTCAACAACAGAATTCTGGTCATACAAGTTCCATTCATGTTGGGTATTGAGACAGTTATGAAGAAGTAGGTGCTCGTAGCTGTATCAATACAGTCGACTTCCTTTGTCAAGTGAATTGAAGCAATTTTATACTAAGGTTAGATGTGATATATTACCCTAACAATGCTTGCGCTATTGTGCCACTGCCTTCAAAGAAGCAGGATGCCTGTTTATTACCATAATGGTATTTCACCGGCATCTGAGTGACATGGGAGGCTCAACAGATGCGTTAATGGCTTGCACAGGGTGGGAACAGAGTCGTAGGATCTGCAGTACAACCGTTATTGAAAATGCGAGTCATTTTACTATCTGATCTTTAGTAGCCTTTTCGGTTAGCTATAAAAGGGAAATCCTTGCTGTAATAGTACATGCTAAATACTGTAATGATTTGTTATGGAGCAAGAATATTTAAAATATGAAAAAATTTTATAATACTCAAAGATTTAAGTGGATAAATTTTATAGTATTCAAAGAGTAATTACTATATTGTAGCTATTGCTCATATATAGTAGCTACTATACATATACGAGTAGTTACTCTATGAATCTATTTTTTAGGATAGAGATACATATAAAAAGAAGAGAGAAATAGAAGAAAGACAATTGAAAAGAAAAATTGAGGCAACGTAAAAATTTTCTTATTACTTTTATAATACTCGTAATAATTAATGCGAAAAGCAAGTTTGTGAAAAAAATAAATAAATAAATGAGATTAAGAGTTTGATGGGAAAAAAAGATAATTTTTTTGGAATAAAATGCTATTACGTTAAGCATGGTCAAAGGATTATTTAATTATTTTTTATATTATAGGGACTAATTAACGTATTTTGATAAAAATGGAAAGTGACTAAGTTATAATTGACTCTAACAAAAACCTAAATCATGTATTAAGATATGCCATTTATCATGGAGAGAACTGGGAGTTACATTTAATGAACAATTATGGATAAATAAGGTAGAATCTATTTTGAGTCAGTAGTTAATGGCACTTACAAACGAAAGCATATTGGTTGCATAGAAGTTGTTATTATAGTTATTAGTTTATTGTTCTCGTTGCGCTGCGGAGTCCAATAAATACGCTGCGAATCTAATAAAATAAAATCAATTAAAATTTTTTTATTTAATTAATTTTTCCTAATCTTTTTCAAAAATTTTTTGCTTAAAAAAAAATAAACATAAATCATTCTTCTAAATGGATTGATTTGAAAATAAAAAATTATAATAATTTTAACTAAACTATTAATCAAGAAATTTTTTTTAAAACATACATATATTTTTTTTCATAATATTGTATTTCCAAAAATAAAATTATAATTAATGGATATATTTTTATAAAAATTAACAAATGAAAAAAATTCTTATTTAATGCTGATTAGAAGATTAAATTCTGAAATTATTCGCGAAACGTCGTAGGCGAGATAGAACAAAATCATTTCAAAATTTTATAATTTTTTCATTAATTTTTTATTTAATCATTACTAATTATTATTATTATTATTATTATTATTTGTGTTTTTGTAAAATTTCTACTTAAGAAAACATGATTTATTCTTCTTTATTTAGGAATTCTTAAATAAAAAATTGTAATAATTTATACTTAAAATATTAATTAATAATTCAAAAAAACAAATACGTTAAAAATATATATATTTTTTAATAAGAATGTATCCAAAAAATAAAGTTACAATTAATGTATAGATTTGCATAAAAATTAACTAATGAAAAAATAAAATTTTATTCTTATTTAATGTTGGTGAGAAGATTATTTTTTTAAAGTATATGCATTTGATCTTTATATATTTATTTATAAAATAATAATCAATAAAATGAGCATGAAAAACTAAATTTGAATAACTGGTTGGTTCCTTTAAAAAATTATTTTCATTATTTTATTTCAAATAAATTGGTTCTATAATGTTAAAAAATATTCATAGTAAATAATTTATATTATGTTGGAAGATGTATAGTTATTTTTTTTAATAAAAAAAATAATTCAATAATTTTTTTATATGTCTTGACCATAAATAGTGAACCAAAATAAATTATTTAAAATATACTTTTAACCTCTTAGAATAATATATATATATATATATATATATATATATATATATATATATATATATATATATATATATATATATATATATGAAACTATTATTTAAAAATTCTAAGAATTCATGATGTATATTATACCAATTTATTTTTTGAAAAAGAAAAAAACAATCATGTTTTAAAATTTTATTCTAAAATTCAAACATAGAGAAAAATAAATTATATTTATCGAGTAAATAAAATTTTATGTAAAAAATGTTAATTGAATGAGACTTTTCATAAAAATAATAATAAATTCGAAGAATGAAATTTAAATAATAAAAATAATATAAGATGAAGTATATGTTAATTTTAAAATATAATATATATACGTTGTGTGGAAATGAAAGAAAAATGAAAGTCGAGGATTGAAAAAAAAATGCTATAAGATGAGGGACGAAAATAGAAAAAAAGTGTTAAATTTTCATATTAATGCCCAAAAACACATAAAAATTACTTAAATTGCCATTAAGTAAATAGTAATTTTTTACTTATGACAAGTAAGTGAATAAAAATTTTAAGCATGTGAACAGTTTAGATTCCTATGCTATATTGCAAACCGAACTAAACATATTTATTTCAGCTTGATAACATATACTATATTATCGGATAATTAAAATATATTAAATTAAATATAAAAGATAAAATTTCATTATATATATATATATATATATATATATATATATATTAAATGCTATGTGATAAAAAGAGAAAGTTACAAAAGAGGAAAGAGGGGAAAAAAACGAAGCTTTTTATACATTTGATTTAAATATAGAAACTTGTATGAAAATTAACAAACGAAGCTTTTTTATCGACGAGAAGATTATTTTTTAAATATGTACATTTGATTTAAATATATTTATTTACAAAATAATGAATAATATTAGTATACAAAATTGTATTTGAATCATTAGATGGTTATTCTAAAATATTATTTCAATTATTTTATTTAAAAAATTAATTTTAAAATATTAAAAATAATAGTAAATAGTTGGTGTTGTGGGTATATGCATAGCTGATTTCTAATAAAATTAATGATTCTAATATTATTATTTTTTATACATCATGATCATATTCAATAGGTGAAAATATATAGCATAAATTAAAAAAAATATTTAAAAAATTAAATTATAAAATATATATTGAAGTTAATAGAGTGCAATAAAAAAATATAAAATTGATTTTGATAAAATTTGATTATATAAAGAATAAGAAAATAATATATATATATATATATATATATATATATATATATATATATATATATGAATTAAGCAAATAAAAACAGGTATTAAAAAAACTTATTCGAATTCATACATAGAGAAAATAAATCATATTTATTAATAAATAAAATTATATAAAAATAGGAATAAAAATTAACTTGATGTAAATGTTTATAATAACTTAAAAAGATGAATTTTAAACAATAAGGGTCGTATATGTTTATTCTAAAATCTAAAAATATATCATATATATTATATAATTGTCAGTTTATTTAAGAAAATAAATTGATGAAAAAATAAAAAAACAAAAAAAAGGTTAAAATTTTAATTATATAAAAATGTGGTTTTTTAATTAATTTTCCTATTAAATGAGCTAGGGTGTCATATACTAAGCATGTGATTTTTAATTAATCCAAATTAGATAGAAATCTAATCCTATTCAACAGAAGGATTTAATTTTACTTCAAATTTTATTTAAGAATTATTTGTATTGAATAATTTGTGTTAAAAATCATTCATACTTTAATCAATCAATAGATGTAAACCTTTGCTATATTTTACTTCAACTATATTAATACTAAATCTAAAGCACTTTTATTATTATTAAAAAAAAAAAAAAAAAAGACAAGGATACCATTAGTTCATTTACTATTAAAAATAAAGATAGTTTAGTTAAAGAATAAAAAATAACATGCATCAATTATTTACGAGCAATAAAAGTACTTGGCGCACCACCATGCTGAGCATTAAATGCTACGTGATAAAAAGAGAAAGTTACGAAAGAGGAAAGAGGGAAAAGAAAAAAAAGGAAAGAAACAAAGGTCAAAAAAGTAAAACAACACAACAACAAATAGCATAAAAGAAAATAAAGCAAAAATATAAGGGCGGAAAAAAAGAAATTTTAGTTGGCAAATTGCTGCACACAGGACGACGGAAGAGCCAAAAGATAGTGAATAGTAAAACAACTTAAAAATTAAAGGAAAAAATCTAACTACAGAATGTAAATAATGATACGTGAGAAGATAAATAACGAAAATCATTATTCAAACACCTTACCTTCTTTTGTATATACTTTTTTTAAAAACTTTCGAAATAATGAGCATCTCCACTCGGGAGGTATAATCCTCCTATTTTTCCAACCCTATGTCCTAAAAAATTAAAATAAATGCGGGCGTGTCCGTATGTGTCCTTCGATGTAACGGTGCGTGAAAAATCTGTTGATAGAAAAGAAAAGAGAGCAGACAAGATAGCAATTTTCACTGCGGGGTAAAGAAACGTGTCATTAACCAATTGGCCAACAGTAGTGGAATTGTTAACGCAAAAAATGAGGTACGGAGGGAGGAAGTGTCCACTTGCGAATTAAAAAGCAAAGAAATTATTGTCTGCTGTGAGGAGGGAAGATATAGTCACATTTGACATTTACTTATTATTGTTGGGAATCTGATTAGGAAGTGTGTTTTTGTGCCCTCTTTCTCATCGGAAAAACTCCCTCTCTCTCTTCTGCTTCTGTTCAAATGGGTGGGAGTCGATGGCTGAGGCCTGAGGTACGTACGCACTACTAATTATTTCTTTCAGATCTCACCCTTAATTTCTATCTTAGATCCAGTCATTTTTTTTTTAATGACTTAAGACTTGATAGACTGTAGAAGGATAGATCTTAATAAATTAATTTCTATATCTACGCAGGTTTATCCTCTGTTCGCTGCAGTTGGATTAGCTATTGGGATCTGTGGGTTTCAATTGGCCCGTAATATCTGCATCAACCCTGAAGTCAGGTACTTCTTTATTTGTTTATGATTCATATTCTGCATGTCTTATGTGTGTCGCTGCTTCTATAGATTAGATTTATATAAGATATGCTTTTGATGCCTTAAGTTGTTGTCTATTTTTGTACTTAGATTTAATTTGCTTGTTTTACTAATTATCATATATATATATATATGCTTAAACTGCCACTAGATAATAGATAACCTGCCTCCCACTTTGTAGAATTGCTTTTTTTTTTTGGATGAAAGGAATTTCAATGAAAAAGTACTTACAGTAGTTTTCTATTCTATGTTTGCAGCTCAAAAATAATATTACCTTCCTTCTGTTTAAAATAAAAAATCTATGTTCATTTTTATTCTTTCCGCTTCAGCAGCAAGTCTTAGTTTGAGGACTACGTGTACAATGAGGAACACCTCCTCAATTACTTATTTTCTGTTAAATTATTGTGATTGCTGATCTATTAGCAGCCACCCCTTTCTGTGTAGATCTAGGGAATGTTAAATTTTCGTCTCATTTACAAATTTTCATTTCATTTACCATTCTCGTCTTCTTATTTAAGAATGACAAAAGGAAAAAAAGGTCTGCACTCTCAATGCTTTGCGGCAGTATGATATAGAGATTTTACTTTTATCAGCTTAAGTGATGACATTTGGTAAGCTTAGGGATGAAAGAATCTTATCTATGAATTTCTTGTAATGAAATGAGAAATAAATAAATAAATGGAATTTGGAGGGCTTTTTTGTTAATTGAACCTTGATTGCCTTGTTTCTTCTATGACGCTACTATGATTTTATGCAGTAAAAGTCTGTGTGTTTTTTAATCTTCCATTTATGTTTTTCTAAAGAAGGAATCGATGCGCTGGGTTCCAGCTGTTTTTGTTTCAATTTATTTTATTTCAGATTTCGGAAAGAATTTTTCCTTATATATATATATTTGAAGGAAATTTGGCAATTAAATAATAGGATTACACCGTTTTTGTGATGCAATTTTTCTGGTTGACACTATATTCATTGTTTTTCGATATTTAAAACAGGGTAACCAAGCAGAACAGAGCTGCTGGAGTTTTGGACAACTTTTCAGAGGGAGAAAAGTATTCTCAGCATGGTCTAAGGAAATTTTCTCGCAACAAGTCTCATGAAATTATGCCATCCGTCAACAACTTCTTCACCGACCCAAAACTGAATTGAATAATGTACTATGTTCATGTTCAACATCGGGTACACACAGTAAAGTCAGCATTTGTTGGGACTGATTGTGATAGAAGTTTATGTTGTGTTTTGGACCTATTGGATGCCTTTGAACTGAGAACAACCTCTGGATGAATTTGTTGTAATAAGCTTGATTAACCTGAAATGAATTGGACTATGGCATCTTCGGAATCAGCACTGAGTTTGTCCATGGCTTTCCTTGTTAGTTGATTTTATTGGAAGATAACATTGGTTTTTTGTTCATCTAACTGGGTGTTTTCTAATGTCTTCAGAGTGCCATAAAATCCGATAATTCAGTGCAAAGGGCATAGCAAGCCAAGGGTGATTTTATTTTTATTTTCATCATGTATATATGTATTGTGTGTTGCTATGGCCAGTTCGATATTGATATGAATGGCCAAGCCACCTGGCAAGGCAACGGAGAAGACAGACCACGAGTTGTATGGGGCAAGGTAATGGAGAAAAGAAACCCCCTGTGCTGTATCTGCAAGGTAATGGAGAAAACTATAGCATACTCTATGCCCATTAATGGCCCTGGAAATAGATAAGGTAATGGAGAAAACAATCGCATCCTCTATGCCTGTTGATGGCCCTAGAAATAGATAGGATCGTCATTGCTTGACACTACCCTCAGCTTGCTACATGGATGAAATTGTCAACTCGTAATTCTGCAGTGCATCTTATGGTTTCTTTCCAGTATGCACAGATACAATGAGAGATTTTAGGAAGCTATAAAAGGATATACGAAACTTAAACGGTTATCCCCTGAATCAAGGGATCTCTACAGCTGCTGTAATTCCTATAATCATGTAATTCTAACAATACACCAGCTCTAACTAACGACTCACACCAACACCCCCAAGTTGGTGTGTAGATATCTCTAACACCTAACTTGTCAAGTGACTCGTCAAAATTCCGACCAGAAACTGCGTTTGTGAGGATATCTACCGGCTGGTCTTTTGATTTGACGAATGGAAAATGAATGATTTTCTCCTCAAGATTCTGTTTTATGAAGTGTATCCACTTCCACATGCTTTGTATGATTGTGTTAGATAGGATTATGATATATCTCAATAGTTGCCTTATTGTCATAAAATAGATTCATTTCAGAGATGGGACCAAGTCCAAACTCTGTTAGTAATCTTCGGAGTCATAAAAGCTCACAAAATCCCTTAGCCATACCTCTAAATTCAGCTTTAGCGCTGGATAATGCTACCATATTTGGTTTCTTGCTTCTCCATATAACTAAATTTCCTCCCACAAAAGTGAAGTAGCCTCGAAGTGCATTTTCCGTCTATGAAATTCCCTACCCAATCCGCATCTCGTGTAACCTCTAATATTCAAATGACCATTCTTAGTGAACATCGACCATTTCCCCGGTGAACCTTTTAAACAACGAGATAATTCGAATTATCGCACCTATATGGTCCTCACTAGGACAATGCATGAATTGCCTTACCATGCCGACGACGTAAGTAATGTCTAGGCGATTATGGGACAAACGAATAAGCTTACCCACTAATCTTTAGTATCTTCCTTTGCTAGTTGACACTTGATCCGAGTATATCTCAAGTCCATGATTTTGGACAAATAGAATAGTCGTTTGTTTGCATTCCAATAATCCCACCTCCGACAATAGATCCAACACATATTTTCTTTGAGAAAGGAATATCCCTTGTGATCTTGCCACTTTTATTCTCGGAAAATACTTAAGTTCACCCAATTTCATTTCAAATTCAACTGATAGTTGTTTTTGTAGTTTTGAAATTTCCTCCACATCATCCCATGTGATAATCATGTCATCGACATAGACAAGAAGAGTAGTCACCTTCCCCGTTGATGCTTTAGGAAGAGTGCATGGTCCGAATTGCTTTGGTGATAGCTATATTTCCTCATAGCAAGACTAAAACGGCCAAACCATGCATAAGGTGATTGTTTCAATCCATACAATGATCGTTCCAGACTTACATACACACTTAGTTCCGGAAGAGAATCTATATCCTGTTGGGATATCCATGTAAACTTCTTCTTCAAAATCATCATGGAGAAACACATTCTTCACGTCAAGTTGGCGTAATGCCAATCTAAATTTGTCTGTAAGAGATAACAATACTTTAACGGTATTTAGTTTGGCCACTTAGTGAGAAAGTCTTTAAATAGTTTATGCCATATGTCTATGTGAACCCTTTTGCTACAAGCCTTGCTTTGTACCGTTCGATTAATCTACCAACTTTGTATTTTATAGAGAATACTCACTTGCACCCTACCTGTTTCTTTCTTTCGGGTAGTGGAATCAACTTCCAAGTGTTGTTTTTCTATAAGGTCTTCGAGTCTTTTTGTATCGCCCATGCCCATTTTGGGTTAGCTAAGGCTTCTTCAATACTACCTAGGGTGTGACAGGAGGACAAAGTATGTGTGAAGGTCTTGATAGGCTCGGGTAGTTCTTGAGTGGACACATAACTTGCAATTAGATATTTGGATCTCTTTTCTTCCACATCAAGAGAATATCTATTGGTGGTTTTCTACGATTATATCCGAAAGGCAAAGCATATCTAGTAGTAGTATTTAGAGTGTTAACATCTAAATGAGTGCTAGAAGAGCTTACCTTAAGACTATTCTCGGTAGGAGCCGATTCTTTGGGTATTGCGGTGAGGGGAGAGGGAGGGTGGTGTAGTAGATGGCTTTTCATTTATAAATTGTTCACTATCAAGTTCATTTTCTCCATTTTCAATTTTCATTTCTTATTACTCGTATCACCCCTTAACTCATCTCTTAGAGCACCTCCTAACTCAACGCCCGGAGCTCTACCTCCCGACTTAACTCCTAGAGCCATCAACCAATTTGACCAATTTTACTCTTCATTTGTATGCTTCTCCTAAAGAGTTGAATTGTGCGGTAGGTTTTGAAGGAATGTTAGTGTAGGTGGCCAAGATCCAACCATGTTTGGATGAGCTTGAGTTAATGTATTATTGCATTATTTATTTGAATAATAATAAAGAATTCATTCTATTAATTCTTATATTTTATGTTTGTAAATTCAGCAAAATCGGATACAAGTCTTTATGATATGCATTTGCAATAGTGATTGATAAAAAAATATGAAACAAACACTAATGCACATAAATGATATCATTAAACGTCCCAAGTCATAGCATTATCAAGAATGGACATTCACTATATGTAGATAAACTTGTGAGTGTTATGCCTATACTATATGATAGCAGTAGAAGATTTCACATCTATTGGCATGGTGATGCCAAATCAAGCACTTAAGTGATTCATGTTAGAGAACATATCACTAGACATGACTCGCCATGAGAACCCATTTTGTTTTAGTCTCCGGGAATCTCTTACAAGATAGGTACAAATGATTCTTAGATTTGAAGTCATCACGGTTGTCTCATTAGAGGACTTATACACTTTGACACTCATTTTGATGGATATATTAAAGGGTTACACGTAAGCGATTCGTTAGATGCACTAGGAATTTAATGGAGGTGGGTGTATGACTAAGATAGGACATGTCATTCCTTGTATACTCAAGGAGTTATCAAATATTTGCTCAAGAAATCTATAGCTATAGTAGGAGTACACCAATAGAGCATAATTGATTTACTCTAAGAGCTAAGACATTTGGGAATCGAAAAAAACTTGTATGATCATAATTGAACATGAATTATAACTAAATTCGAGATCACACTATGATAAGTTGACATAAGGATTGAATTGTATGGTAACCATGCTCGTAAAAGGTAATAATGGATTAACTAATCCTCCTAGAGAATTGGATAGTCATGATGTATTGCTAGAGGTCAATCTTGATTTATGTATCAAGAGATAAAAGAGGAGTCTTTTGTTCTTGATATATTGCCAACATATCTAGTAGCCTATTAAGTCACATGTATAAGTTTAACTATTCATATTATAAATGAGAAGCAAAGATATTGAAAAAAGTTTCCAATTATGAAAGTTTCTTATTTTGGAAAGGGTCTCCAAAATGGAAAGTTTCTTTAAATGGGAAGTTTCCTAAAATGAAAATTTTTTCTTAATTGGGAAGTTCCCTAAAATGAAAAATTTTCTATTTTAGAAATCAGTTTCTTAATTTGAAAGTTAGTTTCAAATTTGAAAGTAAATAACCTAAAATGGAAATGAGTTTCCTAATTTAGGTTAAAGGGTATTTTAGAAAATTATTTTCTCGTGTGGACCCGCCTAAAATAATATAAGATTATTTATTTAGATAGTCTAAATAAATTAATATGGCTAAAATAGTTTTGGCCCATTAAGTTTAATTAAAAAACCTTAAGATATTTTGGTGTGAGGATAAACATTAACCATATTGGATAAGGTTGAATATTTTAAAAAGTCTACATGTAAAAATAACTCCTCATCCTTGAAAGATAAGGAAGCAACGACCTAGAGTCCTTTAGGGACTCATTGCGCCTCTACTTGTCCTTGGAGGATAAGGAAACTCTCCTATAAATATATAGGAGAGAGGAAGGTGCGGCAACATAAGGAAAAATTAGGAGAGAGAGTTTTGGCCAAAAACAAGAAAGAAAATATGGAAAGAAAAATTTCGATCAAACCTAAAATAAAAATAGGGCACATGGTCAAGAGAGAAAAAATAAGAGAAAATATTTTTCTCCAAAAACGATGACAAGACAAACTCTTTTTTTCTTTTTTAAGGTTGTTGCAAAAATTATCCGGGATTGATTTTTATAAGAAACACTAAATTAGAAAAGGTGGAGCTAGCACCCTACTAATTTTAAGTGCCTCTTTATGGATATTTGGACTATGTGGATCATCAATAGAGGTCGGACACTTGAACGACTTTTTTGAAAAGGAATTTAGATCTACGTTACAAGAGGTAATCCTTGTTCCTTGCTTTAAATTTATGCATATATGTTTAGTAGATTCAACGACTTGATCTTGGGCTTTTAGGTGGAGAAATTTTTTTTATTCCGCATCTCCGTAGGATGCAT